TTTAAAATATTTAAAAATCAATCTTGGAGTCAATTTAAGTGATTTTGAATAAAACTACTACTTTGGCATCCATGAGAGCAGGACTGTTTCATCTTTCCTCTTGGGCAGTCTCATGACCTCTGATGAAATCTTATTTGACAGAGTAGATGAAAAGTTATCTCAGATTTTATCTGGAACAATGGGAGGCCTATTGGTAGAAGTATTACGTTTCATGGCTGAAATGTCTTTCAGAGTTCAGAAACTGAAGCCCAGGTGGCCATATCAGACCAAGTATTAACTACTGAATAAATAAAAGGATGTATCACTTCATTATAAAAATGAAAACTTTAAAAATCTCATATGTACTAACAATTGCAAAGTAGTACACTCTATTTAGGGTTCTCCAGAGACAAAGACCAATAAGAGATCAGATAAATAATGAACTATTTTAAGGAACTGCTCACACAATTGTGGGGGCTGACAAATCTGACATTTATAGGGTAGGCCAGCTGGAAATCCAGGTAAGACCTGATGTGCAGTCTTGGGTCCAAAAGTCTACAGGGTAGGTGAGTAGGCTGAAAACTCAGGCAAGAGTTCTGTGTTGCAGTCCTGAGGCAGAATTGCTTCCTTTCTGGGAACCAGTCTTTGCTCTTAAGGTCTTCAACTGATTGGATGAGACCCACCCACATTATGAAGGGTAATTTGTTTTACTGATTGTAAATGTTAATCACATATACAAATACCTTCACAGCAATATCTAGACTAGTGTTTGACAAAACTGGGTATCATAGAGTAGCCAAGCTGACACATAGTTAACCATGAGTAAATTCCAATTTGAACTAAATTCTGAGTTCTCAAAAATGTTAGATAAGCGAGTCTAGTTATTTTTTTCATTTAGGATGACTGAAGTTTCAATTTGCTTTAAGAGACTCAGTCATATACCCTAGCTGGTTTGGCTCAGTGGATAGAGCATCGGCCAGAGGACTGAAAGATCCCAGGTTCAATTCTGGCCAAGGGCATGTACCTGGCATGTACCCAGTTGCAGGCTCAATCCCCAGCCCCAGTCAGGGCACGTGCAGGAGACAACTAATCGATATGTCTCTCTCACATTGATGTTTCTCTCTCTCCGTTCCACTCTGAGGATTAAAAAAGAGATTCAGTCACATTAGGAAAATCTTTGAATAGTACATTTGCAATATACTTAGCTATTCTAATTAGTTTTGCTTAATACAAGTTGGGTTATGAGATGATTCTGATTTCACGGCAGTTGAAATAAGGTTAACAAACAATGTAGATAAATCTGTGAATCTAAATGGCACGGAATTCATTGCTGCAATGTAGCATTTTCAACTTTGCTCCTAGAGTTAATGTATGCACAATGTGCTTACTGTTCTACAGTGAAGGTGCTCAATAATGAGGTGTTTTCAATTTAATATAGGCACACCGTTGCATCTTTGACATCTCATCCAGAGATTAAGTTATGCAAATGATTTCAGAATAACCTTCACCTCATAGGAGTCCAGACACTAAGTAAATTGAGCTGGGCATGTGAGAATATTAATAAATGTGATCTATGACTCCTGACATTATAGGCGAACTTCAATATTATATTGATGCTATTCCTAAATAAATCAGTATTTTGTTCCTGATCAGCTGTGGGAAAGCTAGTAAACATTCTTCAGATTTAGGACTATCAGTTTAAAAAAAGGTTTTTATGATTAAATTGTTACTTTAAATTAAAAAATTATGTGCCATGTAAAAAGATACTTAACATGTCTACCTGCAAAGTAGGAGAAGGAAATAGTGTGTAGTATATGTATGAAGTTAACAGCTTTTATCTTGTTTCTCACCTGTGACGCAGATACCGTAAGTCCCTTTTTACAAATGAGGAAAATCAGGCTCAGTGAAGATCAGAAATTTGCTTGAGGTCACCAGAAAGCTGCACACCCCCTTCCATGGTTTAAACACTCCACTACAGACACAGCTGAAACAAAGAAGGAATTAAGTTTGCTCTTATATTTCTCACATAAGATAGGCTATATATTCATCTCATCTTGCTTTTCTCTTTTAGCACAGTTCTGAGGGCAAAGGTATTCCCCCACAAGTAAGGCATTTCTTCCCAGACAAGTGCAGCAAGCTGGACTATCTTCATTATACTTTGATTACATTGCAGTTTGTCTTTGGCAAGATCAAACTTAAATTTGCTTCTCACTTCAACTTGTCTTTTCTAAATGATCACTGGAATAGACTAGGAACTGCAGTGTCTGCCTCTGTGATGGCAGTGGTGGGAATGGAGCCTGGGAGGGCACAGTGGAAAGAAATGAAGGACTCCCTGGGTGGGATTTCAAAGGCATTGATGAGTGGTTTTGGTTATGAGGAAAGAAAATAATGGGAGTCCTCTCCTTTCCTCCGTTTTTCCTTTCATTACCTCAGAGAGCCTGTAAGCTATAGTTGATACAAAACAATTTCGATTAGCTGCGCACTTGGTCTGGGGTACACTTCATCCAGATGTCAGGTAGTCAAATCTGTACTTTGCAGCCATACAGCATTGCTAGATATTTATAAAATGGCATAGCTCTACCCTTGAGTTGTATTTATAAACTGACAGGGTACTAGAGATCATTTAGCCTGGTCGTTTCCCAGCTTTTTTCCGTAGCACAAAGACTATTCAAATTCCTTGAAAGGGTTTAATTTTAAATAGACTTGATTCCTTTCACATCATAAAATGTGGGCTAAAATTTTAGGTTGCTGATCAATTCTTTACCAGAGGAACAATTACTAAATATAAAATGTTAATTATATATATATTTTAAAACTTTCAAATTCTTACTTGCAAATCCAACAAAAACAACAAAGAGCTGCTCTGGTGCTGCTCCTAGGCTCTCCTGTCCTTAATGTTTGGAGCCCCTGTTTAAAAACTATCGATATTAACCTACCCTCCCATTTTACAAATTTATTTAACAAGAACATTTTGTGCAAATACTAAGTATCTAGCACTGTACTAAGCTTAGGAAAAACACTGGACCTAAAATATGAGTATGCTCTGATCCCTGGCTTACCAGGGAGACATGATTATAACACAACATAGTAAATTCAGTGAAACAGGACCTGTGATATTATGGGGCCTGGAATCACTGAGTCTGAGCCTGGGTCTCTGAAACGGAGCAAAATGAGTTTAGAGGGCAGTTAACTTGGGAAGAGTATACTCCAGACTGAAATATGGAGTGGGAAAGCGGCTAGGGGTACATTTGAAAGGCACAAGTCGTTTTATGCTGCAGATAATACAGCAGGAAGTGAGAAGAGAGCCTATACCTTGTCTTGATTCTTCAGGAAATAGGGAGCCAAGGAAGGCCTGTAAGTAGGGAAACGAGGTCAAAGTTATGCTTTAGGTTGCCAAACGGGGCTATGAATATGTTGAGGGAGGTACAAAGACCTACCTGTAGCTCTTTAAGAGAGTATCAAGAGCAGAAGCAAATTTGGGGGAAACTATGCATTCATTTTGAGGTTCCAGGTAGAGATGTCCAGCGTGACTGGATGGGTAGCTCAAGTCTGAAGCCTTGGTGAATAAATATGATCCTGTATACATACAAAGGGGGATGGAGAGAGATGCAGGAAAAGGTTAACTTTGCTTAACTCTTGATTTTTGGTTAATTCTTATCCATGCTTTTCTGTACACTTGCATGTTATCTTTATAACTAGGCAAAAGCAGTTATTTTAGTTTTTGAATTCTGCTGATTTATCTTCCAAACTTTGCTTTGCCTCAATTTTCTTTAAACCAAATTGGCACCATACCCTATATGGAATTTCCTGCATTTTCACCAAAAATTGTATTTAGGAACAATACTATGTAGCCATTAAAATCATGCTTTCAAAAGAAATATGCAAATGTTCACCAGTCTTCTTACATCAAACTTCATGATTTGGTATAATTGGATCCTATGCAGATACAGCAAGATAGAAAAATCTCTTGAGATTAAACACTCTCTTGAGTGTTCACAGCACTTCAAGTGCTCTCTTGAATGGAGTCATCACAGTGAGCCGAACATGCTGTCACTAGTGATAGAACAAACGCAAAGCTGAAATCTAGCGCAGTGTCTCAATGTGACTCACAGGAATGTGGTGAGGACACACAGGCTTCTCTGACATTGCCTGGGGATGATGAGTCTTCTCTAAAAACAGTCAAGTTTATTTGAACTCTCTTGCCACAACAAATATGTCATAATCTGTGACCAATATCACATACCAAATTGATAGCTGACCTTAATGAAACATACCTACACAAAAGCCACCTATGAGCATTTGCTTTTAACTGACTAGAGAAAAAAGACCCATCACTGTAATAATCTGACTTATTTCCACTATGCTCAAAGCAATTTAAAAACATATAGAATTACTGTCAGGAAAACATAAGCAGCCTTAGCCCCAGTCAAGGTTTTAAAAATCTGTATCTAAATGGGTTCTTTGCCGTGTAGAGAGAAACTGACTAGAACACACAGTATAGATATTATTTGGGAAACATATGCCAAATTGGAGATACCTTCAAAACATAAAAATCTGAATAAAAATTTATTTTCAATCACATAGATTTTTATGTGAAACTGATTTTTAACTCAGGAAGTTTAGGGAGTGATACAAAATGAAATACAGGGAATCAAACCCAAATTATCCAAGAGAAAGTTCTATTTCCATTGCTCTTTCAAGTGGATGACAAAGATGGACAATATAATTTGAAAAGATCAGTGTGGTGTTTCTCAAACATCCCCAATCATAAGAATTATTCAAGGCACTTTTAAATAGAGTCCAGACCCATTCTCCTTTGACTCCAGCCCAGTGGGTTTGGATTGAGGACCAAGGTTTTATATTTTTAGCACCCCAAGTCATTCTAATAATCAGGCAAGTTAGGGAAATAGTGGCTAAGGGGGAAACAGCAGCAATACCACCACAGCTCCCGTCCCCTTACTCAACATCTGCCCAACAACATACTGCCTGAGAATGAGAAACACTCAACTGAAAATGAGGAATTGTCTGTAGAACACGATTTATTTCAAGTCCAAAACACAAAATTACTCATTTTTCTTAACATACTGCATAATTTTTACTGCATGAATATTTAGGGTTTCTGTATTCACAAGTGTGTTTATTTCTGAACTTTAGGCTCAAATGATTCAATATATATATGTTTAATACAGAGGACATGTACTTTAACAAATTTGTTTAGAAAATATTTTACATAAAAACACACAAAGCATTTACTAATACTCTTCAGTCTTTACAACCAATCTTCAGCTAAGATTTGGCTGAAGTCCATCATTTTCTACAAAACATTCCAAGACTGAGTACGATAGGGTGCAGTACAGTAAGTCCTCACTTAACATCGTTGATAAAATGAAACCAATTTTACCATAGGCTAATTGATATAATAAACAAGAGTTAAGGTTCTATGGCATCTCCTCGACTTCATAATGAAATGCCATTGAACAAAACAACGTTATTCGAGGACCTGCTGTATTTTACATACTTTAGCTTATTATTGCAGTTACAAGTTCCCTTTTCTTTGATGGCTTCTGCATATATTATACTCATAAAGCAGGAGGAGACTTTTCTTTAACTCATGAATTATAAATAAAATTTGTCTTTTTTGGTGTAACTTATCCCCAATCAAGAACCAAAGAGTCATGATGAAATCACATAACTGACATATAAGGGCTTTTTCAAACTAACAACAGTAACATTTAATACCTATTGTTATAATATCCTTTATTGTTTTGTCCAACAACTAGAGTGCCGTTACTTCTAATATAATCAGTTGGCATCAAAATATAAAGTAAAAATATGTACATTTTTATATATCAATTCTTACCTGAATAATCTCAGATCTCTTGAGTGTTCCACGAAGTGGAATTTCTTCCTAAAGTTACAGTGAATGTGGTACAATGTGTACAACTTGGTTAACCAGTGCTCGCTTTTTCATTTCCAGGACTTTTCCTTATCTTGAATCAAATGCACACTCTTGACTACCATATCATTATGCACTGGCTCACAGTTCATATATAAAGTCCAACTCAAGCTTATTTTGGTTTATTGTACATGCTTTATTAAAACGGTACTGGTATTTACATATCTGCAGAGTCCCTTCCAAGGTGCTCTCACACACTCAAACACACCCATACGACATCCATACTACGGCCCCATGCACCCACACTAGTGAGCTGTGAGGGTCAGACTCCTAAAATTAGGGAGCTGTTGGGGGATAGAGTTGTTGATTTGGTTTTCAATTTTTTTGAAAAAAGCACGGGGGAATGCATTTGGCCATTACAATGCTAATTAAGTTTGTGTATATTAACATATATGGCAGTAACACTGAATATTCCTTTTACATTCTATATACACAGAATGAGATCAAGGTTTTGCGGTCAACAGAAGATTCCAACTTCAGTCTCAATGCTGCTTATAATGACTTCTGAATTCACATAGGGGCTTTCCCTAAAAATAATTCAAGTCTATGTAAGTGAAATAAGGCACAAGTAATATTGATTTGATCTAGGGGAAGGGGAGGAATGAAAACTAGTTACTGTTAGAGTTACTTTGACTTAAATCCACTTGAAATCCTGTCTCCTAATATGCAAAGATTTCTTAATAATAAAGGTTGTTTTATTTTCCTCTTCCCTGACAAAACCCAAAAAGAAAAGTTTGGGAATTCACATTTTAATGTTTCAGTAGCCTAAACTACTCAAATTGATGTGGACCCCACCTCTCCTGCCCAGGTCTCCTCCCTCCCTCAATACCAAAACAAAAGCACAGCACAGGAAATAGGAATCCCTTGCTGTTTGAGATTTGTACACTTAAGTAGCAAATACATATCTGGTTGTCTTTGATTTTTTAAAAATAAGGAAAAGCAACCTCATAACTTTCTTGCTCTGTAAAAAAAATCCCTGTCTCTTCTTTTCAAGATGATGAAGCCCCAACCAGACATTAAAAACAACTGCAACAAATGAGTTTGGCAGCATAAATAATGTCTAGTTTTCAAAACTTCATAGTGAGATTCATTTAGCTGTACACAATCTGTTGGATGTTTTTTGCAGCAGGTGAACCAAACCCAAAGACGCTGGACATTCTGTGAAAGGGAGTAAGAATTGCAGTCTGAAGGCCCCTGACTTTGGTTGTTTACAAAGTTCAATCCTGTTTATTGTGATCCTTGGTATCTTCTTCATCTGTATATTCTGATGGTTCTTCTCCTGGTTTTAGCAGTCTGCCTACATAATCATATTTTTCTGAAAGACATCAAAAGAAAATCAGTAGCAGTAAAATGCTTCACTATTCCATTATACAGCAGGGAAGGCATTTGCCTCTTCTGAAATCATATAGAACAAGCTAAATTTTTCCTACTGCTCACCTTGGCTGGTCTTTGTACTCATGTAAAGCTTGAACAAAAGAAAACAGGATTAGGGAACTTATAAAGCTTGGAAATTGCGGTTTGCAGGAGTGTTCCATACTACCACTTCTTTTTTTTTTTTTTTAACTGTTTTTATTGATTTCAGAGAAAAGGGAGAGGGGGAGAAAAAGAGAGAAACATCAATGATGAAAGTCATTGATCAGCTGCCTCCTGCACGCCCCCTACTGGAGATCGAGCCCACACCTGGGCATGTGCCCTGACCAGGAATCAGTGATCTCCTGGTTCATGGGTCTATGCTCAACCACTGAGCCACGTCGGGTGGGCATACTACCACTTCTTAATCAAGGACACTGCATCAGAATCACTTAGAGAGCTTTTTGAAAATATATATCCATGTCCAGGACCCATCTCAGAGCTACTTATCCCAGGCTCTTGGGTTAGGCTGAAGAGAGACATGTAGTTTGAAATCTAACTCTATTGTGCACTGTGGGTTCAAGATTTAAAGCATAGTTCTTTAACTCTTAACAGCCCAAATTATAAAGAAACAAGGTGGCAATGTAGGGTGTTTCCAACAATTATTTAAAATCTATAAATATAATATTAGGTTTTATATAGAACTGAGATGAAATAAAATGTACTATTCTTCTATCAAATTCTCCTCTTAGATCTATTACATTACCTGTTTTTATGTCACCAGGTATTATAGCAGAACACTGTTATGTCCAAGTTGATGAACATGCAGTTATTTCTTGGTTATGAATTTGAACCTAGGTTAACTGAATTAACTGACAAACCAAGAGGATAAGATAGGAGGACTGCTTTATACAGTAGTAGAACCAGTACAAGTGCCAAGAAGCTAGAAGAACTGTTCCAAGGGACACATAGGTCCAGAGTGTCACATAGGTGGTAATAATTGATGTCACAAATGTATAGTAAAGAGAAATGACATTTTTTCCTTACAGTTTGAGGATAAGATCAATAAAATCATTTAGAATAAATTATACTATCATATTAGCATTCAGTTCAGTTTTAAATACATGCCTATATATTTTTTGAAAACTATACATTAATAAACAAGCCTTATACCACTAAAGGTGTCACAATTTTTGTTAGACTTATAGTTTGTAACAAGTCAATTTTTAAATATGGATTTTATAAATCACATGTAACAATCATTTTGCTCTATCAAGTAATGATGATGATGAAAACATACGGCATCCTTGGGCTCTTAAAGAATGTGAAATAGCATTCACTTTCTTTGGCCACAGATTATTTCCAAAGAAGCTAACAAAATGAAGGTACCTTTAAACTGCATTTCCCATTCTCGAACACTTTCCATTTGTACGGCATTCAAATCTGAGAGATCATCATATTCATCTTTAAGTGCATCTTTATCTAGGCAAAATGTCGCCAGTCCTCTGGAGGCATCCCTACCAGCAAATATTCCATATGGACCCGCTGGGGGGAAAAAAAAGAAATTATTTAGATAACTAACATTTTAGAGCGTCTCAAAGGAAAAAGTCAAAAGAAACCTTAATTTCAAAACACACACAGATACTAGGTGGGATGAGAAGAAATTTCCTGGAAATCTGCCTTTTGACCAAATGAAAGTTTTTCACTGAAAATTTAAACCTTACATTTCAAATATTTCAGATACCCCAAAACTTGTATTCAAAGATGAAGACTGTGAAGTAGTAGAGAGAATAGGTTATTTGAGCAGTTAGGTTTAGAAGCCAGTTTGCTTCCAAATGATGCTTTACTGATTGCTGTTAATTGTGGCATCTAAAAAAAATTGACTGAACGTCCACTGGATAAGTACTATATAAAGACTCAAGTGATTGTGGATCTAAACATTTTTTCTCCTATCCAATGTAGGTTGAAATTATATGAGGACAGAGACTGAATAATCTTGGTATCCCCACTAACTACGTCAGTGCCCAGCCCATGTGATGTTCAACAATTCTTTGCTGAATAAATAGTCTGATCAGAAATATGACCTATTTTCGCCCGGCCGGGCGTGGCTCAGCGGCTGAGTTTCGACCTAGGATCCAGGCGATTGGGGTTCAATTCCTGGTCAGGGCACATGCCCGGGTTGCGGGCTCCATCCCCGGTTGGGGCGTGCAGGAGGCAGCCGATCAATGACTCTCTCATCATTGATGTTTCTATCTCTCTCTCCCTCTCCTTTCTTCTCTCTGAAATCAATAAAGATATATTTAAAAAAAAAGAAAAAAAGAAATATGACCCATTTTCAAAATAAATAACACCTGATTACCATAATATACTCACAATTATCTATATAAACTATGAAAAGTCATTAAAAAATATAATGGTTTTCATCACAACTTTTGGAAAACAGTGTGGCTATAAAGAACAGTTCTTCTGACTGACACAAAATTATTAGCATTTTGTCCAAGGAATTAGGAACCACCCTCTCTAAGGAAGAATGGCATGATTTATATGCTTACAGAGTGAGCCATTCCCAAACTGTGTCCTTGAGAGCAGTAACTGTCTTACTGATCTCTGTATCCTCAATGCCTAGCACAGTGCCAAATGAATTGGCTGCAATTCCAAATAAGGAGAAACTAAATTTTGACCCTTTACTTTAAACAGATTCACTTATGGTAAGCAAAATCTACACTTTAGTATAGATAAGAAAGACTTCAATTGTTTAAAACACATACTAATAAAAATGAAACAACCTAATTTTCTATATCAGGATATTGGTTAAATAAATTATAGTACATTAATTTAATGTAGTAGTATATAGCTAGCAAAGAAAATTAGGTAACTGTATGTACAGACACAGAAGTCTATGATATATATATTAACTGAAAAAAGCAATTCAGAAGAGCATATAATATATACATATATATGGTAAAAAGGAGAGAAGATGAATATTATAAAAACAGAAATCAGAAAACCCTCCATCGCCCGGCCAGGCGTGGCTCAGCGGTTGAGCATCGACCTAGGACCCAGGAGATTGTGGTTCGATTCCCGGTCAGGGCACATGCCCAGGTTGAGGGCTCAATCCCCAGTCGGGGGCGTGAAGGAAGCAGCTGATCAATGACTCTCTCATCACTGATGTTTCTCTCTCTCTCTCTCCCTCCCTCTCCCTTTCTCTCTCTGAAATCAAAGATATATTTAAAAAAAGAAAAAGGAAAAGAAAACCCTCCATCTTTGAGTGTATTAATATATACCAGTGTCTTCTCTAGTAAACTTCTCTGCCAACTTCCCTAAGGAGGCCTTAACAATGAATGAATGTAAGAACAAAACTTCATAAAACATGTTCTTTTTTGGGTTTTAGATGGCTAGCTTAGTAAGAGTGTATGTGAGTCAACAGTTACTAATCCAAGCCTAATTCTATGCAAAATGTTTTGCTAACTCTTGGATGATTCAGTGATTAACTTATTTCCCCACTCTCCAAACTGTATTAAGCTGTCTTCTCCACAGTTTAAAACTTCCCTCAGGGAGCATTTAATCTGGAAAGGTGTTTTGATAAGTTTTCTTTACTCTTTCCTGTAATACCATGAAGAACATAACATTAAGAACTAGAATTGGAATTGGATGTTGCTCAGAGAAAGGACTTGAAGTCTAATTAAAGTACATTTCTCTGCATCCATAATACAACCAGAAGTATACTGAGAAGTCAGCAATACCTCCCTATTCCATTACCCCCTTATGTAACAAACCTAAATGTTACTGATCCCAGTATTTTGGTGACTACAGTTTACATAGCCCACGTAGAATGAGAATTCTAAGGTGAAAAAATAGCATGGACTTAAATATTACCTGCTGGAATTTAGTAAACAGATAGGTTATACTAGAAGTGTTTGGAGGGGAAAAAAGTTACTCTATGAATGGTGTTGGGATGACTGAATAGCCTTCTGTGAAAAACAAAAGTCGAATCCTTATTTCATACCTTAAAATAAAATCCAAATGGAATTAAAAAACCAAAACCATAGAAGTATTAAAGAGACTGCAGATTATTTAACATAATCCTTCAGTGCAAAAAAGTCTAAGTATGATACAAAACACAGCAACCACAAAAAGCTGAATTTGAAAACATAAAACCAAAAAATGTTGCGTGGTTTATAACACCATAAACTAAAAAGACATATAATTCAGGAAAAAAAATCACAGAAAAGGCTGATTTACTTTTTAAAGAACACCTAAAATCTACATGAAAAGACCAGTATCCTGACTGAAAAACTGTAGCAAATATATGAACAGATAATTTGCAGAAAACATAAATGACTCAAATTTTTGAAGATGACCAACTTCACTAAGAAAAAGAAAAATGTAAACTTCTCAGACTGTGAAAGACCAAGAAGTTTAATATCACATTTTTTACAAAGGAGTGAAAACTAGGCATTTTCATGAAAGTGTATATTGGTCCAACTTCTCTGGAGGGCAACTTAGAAGTAGGTGCCCAAATTAAAAATGTCCATACCCTAGCCCGGCTGGTGTGGCTCAGTGGTCCATCATCAACTGATGAACCAAGAAGTCAGGGGTTCAATTCCCAGTCAGGGCACATGCCAGGGTTGTGAGCTAAATCCCCAGGAGGGGGGGCGGGGTGTGCAGGAGGCAGCCTATGGTGTTTCTCTCATTGATATTTCTATCTCTCTATCCCTCTCCCTTCCTCTCTCTAAAAATCAATAAAAACATTTAAAAACAAACAACATCCATACCCTAAAACTCAGTAATCTTACTTGTAGGAATTGGTTTTATAGATAATTATAATTTTACTCACATGTGACATGTACACTAACATTTACAGCAGTACCATGCAATAACAAGATACAGTAGACTGTTGTTAGAATATATTCATATAATAGAATATTATGCATATATTTAAAAGAATGGGATAGCTCTCTTTATACTGATATGAAAGGCTGTCAAGATATTAAAATATTGTTAAAGGTTTGTATAGTATGCTACAACTAGTGTGAAGAAGAAAAGTACATATCCACATGCTTACACCTACAGAGAACGCTCTGGAACAATACTAAAACTGGTTCCCCACCTTTAGGGAGGGGAACATGGTGGCTGGGTTGTGGGAAGGAGACTTATTTTTCACTATATATCCTTTTAAATGTGCTATCTTGACTATATATTACCTAGCAAAAAAATACTGTTTTATCTGTTTTCCACTAGGCCCTATTTTGAAACGTACCTCAAATCACTCTACAGTTAGACTTCCACAACCCCAGGGTTGATGGAACATCACAGAAAATACCCCAAGAAACAAAAAGATAGTAACTGCTGAAGGTAAGTTTGCAATGAAAATAATAAACTACATGAAGAAACAAACCACCATGGAGGACTGAGTACACTTAACAGATATGAGAACTGGCATCCCAAGAATAAGATAATAGAAGCAGCTTAAAAAATGACAGTATGTCTGCTTAACATTATTAAGAAATTAAGAGATGGGACATAAGGAAAGATTAAGAGTCATGATGGACAGAACGAAAAGCTAATGTGTATCTGAGCTCTAGAGGAAGGAATATAGAGAATGGGAGAAGCAATAATTGAACAAATAATGGGTTCATATTTTCTAAAATAAATGAGTAGCACACATCTTCAGATTTAGTAGAGTCTGGAACATGTTAAAATAAATAAATAAAATTCCTGCCTGGACAAATCCTAGTGAAAGAACAGAACTCCAAAAGGAAGAGGGAGACCCTGTCCTGGTAGCTCAGTTGGTTAGAGTGCTGTGCAGGTGTGCCAAGGTTGCGGGTACAATTCCCAGTAAGGGTGAAATGCAAGAATCAACCAATGAATGCATAAATAACTGGAAAAACAAATTGATGTTTTTCTCTTTCTCTCTCCTCTCCTGCCCCCGACCCATTCCCCTCTAAAATCAAAAATTAAAAAAAAACAACCCAAAGGGAAAAAAGTCTCAACTATAGCAAGTCCTCACTTAATGCCGTTGATAGGTTCTTGGAAACTGCAACTCTACGTGAAATGATATACAACATAACCAATTTTACCATAAGCTAGCAAGAGTTCAGTTCCTATGGCAATTTCTGGTCACAAAAATATCACCAAACTTCTAAATAAAGACTCATTATTTCAATATTAAACACTGAAATAAATGTGAGCTATACATAATTTAAGAAAGATGAATAAAAACAAGAGAATTCTTTTCAACCCGAGTTTTCCAGTTCAGGGACGAGGGTGGCCAGATCTTATCCCAGCAGCTCAGGGTACAAGAAGAGACCCATCCTGTACAGGACCCCCATTCATCACAGGGCCACTCATACCCCTACTCACTCAGATCAGCACAATGTAAACACACCAATTCATCTAACGTACACATCTTTGGGGTATAGGAGGAAACCAAAGTCCCCAGAGAAAACCCATGCAGACATGGGAAGAATATGCAAACTCCACAGACAGTGGCCCCAGCTGGGAATCAATTTTTTTTCTAATCAATGTTATAACAAAACATTGTT